AGATAATGATACTTCTGGCCTTATCCACTATCTCGGTCTTCTTTACCTGTGTAAGTCCTGCAGAAATCAATTCTTCACCCTTCAAAGCATCGATACACTTCTCTTAAATTAAAATTACTTGCATCTTAATTTTCCACAACCCAGAGTCGTTGTTACCAGAAAATTTCTTGATCTCCTATCTGCTAACCATGGTTCTCAATACCTCTTTGCTCCACGCTCACCGCACCACTTATTGTGAATCTTGTTGTGAATTACAACAAAATTCAATATCAATTTGTGAAGAAAATAATAGTAGCAATCAAAATAAATGGTCTACAACAATAATAATTCGTACACAGATAATATAACAAAATAAGGCGAGAAAAAAACAAAGGTTTGTTTACCAAGCTCAATCAAGCGATCTACTCTAAGGGAGATAAAAGCTCTCCAATTAACTATACTCATAAGTTGTTACAAGAGTTTGCAAATGAGTTACAAGAAAATAGTCTTTTCCTTCGGGTTCTCAAGAACAACCCTGAAGGTGCCCAAGAATTACCCTATTTTATACCCCAAGTGTTTCCCAAACTCTTCAACCTTTAACATATGAATAACTCAAAGCCAAGGTGTAAAAAAGTGTTTCCCAATTCCCAATAACCTTATATAACTCCAAAGGTATCCAAAACCCTTTCCTTTCTAAGGTTTCCCTTGAGAATAGCCAAAACCATATGCTATGCCTTTAAACTCTTGCTGTCCCTTGTTACTGTAAACTCTAAGATTGTCACACCTGCAAACATATAAGAGACACACATTTATAATAACAAATACCCAACAACTAGGACCCAAAATCATAACCTAATCAATTGCACATGGATTCATGGATCGAACCGAAAGAGCCTGAAACACGTAAAACGAGAAATTACTGAAAAGTCCAAAAAAATCAAAATCGACCGCCAGCGTACAGACCGTTGTCGTCCCCGAAACCACCTCTTTCCGCCACCGTCGTCCCGCCTTTTACCACCGCCTAAATTCTGCCTCCAACCGATCTCGGATTCCAGCCCCTTCGGGCTAACTTTTCCAGATTTTCGACTTTTTGATCAACTTTCTTAAACTTCTTATTTTCGTGTTATATAATCTCCAAAATATCTTTTCTTTCTCTTAATCAACACATGTTTTTAAGGCATATACCAAAAGCCTTTGATCTATCGCGACCATGATGTGACATCATTGCGTCCACGATGTCAGCAACGCGACCGCGAGAGTTCTATATGTAAAACTTACTATTTTCTTCCTTTATTATTAAATTTTTCACTAAGACCATATTTCTCACTCTTTTACAACTTTGTTCAATTCTTCCACATGTTTGCTTAACATTTTCTCATTATTTCATCAATTTCATCAAAATTATTCGCCAATTTTACGTAATGACAAAGTGTCATCACTTTCCTCCTCTAAAGAATTCTTTCTTTTCTTAGTTTCTTAAGTTTGGAAGCATGTCGGGTCACTTTGATGGTTGCGATACAGTTCACTCCTACGATCTTTCGCTTTCTTCGTCATCATTTTTCTCCATGCCTCTAAAAAGACCCCTTCGATCTTTCGCTTTCTTCATCATCATTTTTCTCCATGCCTCTAAAAAGAGAGTCATCCTCTCTGGAAAAAAAAACAATTGATTAAAATCTACTAAAATTTAAATAGAAGGAAAAATATAAAGAAGAAACCTTATCCAAAAAATCCTTCAACTCTGGAAGATCTCCCTCTTATCTTAGCAAATCTTTCACCTCCAAAATACATAATTTTCCCAAGATACCGACTTATTCATTTTCTGTATAACTAAGTTTATTCGGCTCGTGGTAGCAAGGGACTCTCCCATCCATTTTAAAGAAAACCTTATACATATCGTCCTCTTCGTAAATGACCTCCGGAAAAGGTACATTGCCCCTAACTTGAACAAATTTATTTTTTCAATGTTATAGTTTGGAAGTATAGAGAGAGAAAAGAGATCGTCTAAGGATGACACTCACATAAATCTATCCACCTCCAGTGTACGTCTTTCGTCTCATAAAGTGAAAAAAATATACCTGAGAAGGGTCGGCAATTTGCAGGCGTAACCTGCGCTATATGTTGGTGTAAGCCCTAGAGGCCAATACTTTTGGTACTTGTATCGAATTGTTTATCAATAATAAAAGGCATTTCTTTATTATGTTTGCTTTCCAAAATAATAAAGTCCCTAGAATGGTTTATTTGTTTAATGAAATGTTAAGTGTGACTTAATCATGAGATCCCATTAAACATAAGACACTATTCTTAAAGTATCCGTAGTCAAGCTTTAATGTGAAGTGGGATAACATTAAAGCATTAAGATTATTATGAAGATAGATTGATGATCACATCTCATGGATCATAAATAAGGAGTTATCAAGTCTTGACATAGGTATGAATATTAGGAGTAATATTTATACTGGATTGACCCGCTATGAGAATACTACATAGAATGTTATGCAAAGTGTCATAAGTTATTCTCATGATGATAATGGTGTATACCACCCTTCGACCTGAAACCACTATGGACCCTAGATGTAGAGTCAAGTACTTTATTGTTGATCAAACGTCATCCGTAACTGGATGACTATAAAGACGGTTGATGGGTACTTCACAAAGCATGCTAAGGGACATGAGTGACCTAGATGGAATTTGCTCATCCTGCATAACAGGATAAATGTCTAAAGGCCCAATATTGAACTGGACAAGGGTGACACAATGTATGTCTTGTGTTCAATATAGACATGAGGGAAAAAAGGGTAATTGTACAACACAAATATTATCACGGAAAAGGTTTGGTAAGATCACATGACATTTTCGTGACTTGGGTAACAGTGATGTGTTGCTAGATACCGCTCACTGTTTATTATATTAAATGTGTGATTTAATATAATTGCCAACGTCGCGAAAACCTACAGGGTCACACACATAAGGACAGGTTGATGAGAGATAGAATAAATAAGGAACACCGTAAGGTACAATGCACTTAAGTGTAATACGGAAAGTGGTAAGGTACCACGTGGATAAGTGATATATGGTACATCATAAGGTATGATGTCCATAAGCTTAATTGGGCTTTTAGCTTATAGCCTTAATTGGGCTTTTAGCTTGTAGCCTACACGAGTGATTCTATAAATAGATCCCTTGTGATGAAGCAATTTCACTTGATGCAATTTCGTTTTTGATTCTCTCTCTCACTCAAGGTTTCCGTTCGTGATCAGCTAGCACTGTGACCGGAAGCGATCTGTTCGTGTGGACTGAGTAGAGGCGTTGTTCTTCATCAACGCTCGTGATCACAACATCAAAGGTCTGAATCGCCACAAGAGGTAAATATTTCTATCACTGACCATGCTCATTCGTAAGGATCGCTAAAGGAAAATTTTAAATTCCGCTGCGCTTTTGATCGCAATTTTCCTACACTATAGCACTACGTCCCAAATTCAAAGGGGTCCACTTTTTTTTAATTACTAAATCAATACATTTTACACATGTTTTTTTAAAATAGGTGTAAAATCATAATTTGATTTCAAAATCAATTTTACTCCTATTTTCTTAAAACACGTGTGAAATCATAATTTATTTTTAAAATCCATGATTTTATATCGATTTTTCAAAAATTCGATATATTCATATTTTTTAGGCTTTTTATAAAATTAGAATTTGACCTCTAGATTAACATGGGATATCCCTAATGGGTAGGTAGCCCATTAGGTCCGCATTGCTATAAATTTAAAAAAAATATTAATTCTTATATTTTGTTACTCCAAAATTACACATTAGTTTTTCTCACTTCACTAAATTTTGTCTCTATATTATTCAATATTTCTATTTTAAATATTAGACATTAATATAATTAATACTCTTTCCTTGTATTCTATTAGTTTCTCATATGTTAAATATTTTGAGTATTATTTTCTATAATTTAGACATGTATTGTATTTAAAAATATATTATATTTAAAATAATATAATTTTTTATTTTATTTATAGTCAATATTATAGATTTTTCATTTTATTTATTTTTATTAAAAAAAAATTATTTAGGATCGAGTAACCCGAAACCCGTCGAGGATCAGACTTGGATAGTAATTTTGAAGTCTATATTACAATAGGATTTTTTTGACTCAATCCTAAAAAGCCCAAGTCAATCCTAAAAAGCCCAAGTCCATGAGGAGCGGCCTTAAGATAATCCATTTTTACAGCTCTAGGCATAATATCAAGTCGGCCCGGACATAAAATTTCAAATTCTCGAACAAACACCCAACTGTTCGGATGCAGCTGGGAATGGGCAACATTCTAGAAATGCTACTGATCACTTTATGATAATATTGTGCTGCAAGTTTTGCAATGGAATAAAAGCTTAATATTCTATATGAAATAATGATATTTCATTCCTTTGGACAGTGACAGCTCCAACAAATGAATATTGGTACTTGTCTTGATGTTGAACTTGCAGCATGGAGCAAGCTACTCTTCTGTTGCCTTACAGTATCTGATTTCCAGAGATTCTACTATGTTGTTGCTTTGTTATTGTCTATTTTATTCTCGAGAATCTATAATGTAAGTCGAATTAATCCTTTTATATACTACAGTTGATTACAGTTGATTCTGAAGGACCAATACTAAATCTTTATTTTTTGTCCATAAATTCTAACTCAACTGACAGAAGTCGATATTGTTAGATTGAACGTCATCATCAGAATTTAAACCTTAAACCCTGATACTCAATTATGTGTGTAAATTTCTAATGATTATTATCATTTCGTCTAAATTGTCGGGGACTAATTTGAATATTTACTCAAATTTATTAGAAAAATTTGAATATTTACTCAAATTTATAGAAAAATATAGTAACAATCAAGTTGAATTGAAAAGAAAATGCAACTAGCTTAAGAATTTATTGATACTATAACACATCAAGAACTATATACTCATGTGGAAATTGTAGTAGCAATAGCTATGGCTGAATCTTTTTCTTGCCTTGTGTTACACTCCAGAACGATATCTATTGAAGCTTGGACCCTCTTGAAGGTTACTTCTTTCATCTTCATCTACCTTTTTATACTCATAGCATTTTGCAATCCACAAATAAACACCAAAATTCAAAGCACTTAATGCAGCCATAACCCAATAATAATCATCAAGGTGTGCCTTATTGATGTTATCTCCTAACCATTTCTCACCAGATTTTGAACTAATTGCTTCAACAATGACTATAACTATGTTACTAACAAAGCTTCCAACTCCTACTATACTTATATACGCCGCGGCTCCCAAACTTCTGAGTCCCTCTGGCATTTGATCGTAGAATAGTTCTTGTAATCCGACGATAGTAAACGCGTCAGAAATACCTGTGATCATATATTGAGGAAGTAACCACCAAATATGCATTGGTAGTATTGCAGTCGGATTGTCTATTAGACCGTGGCTTTTAGCAATGCTAACCCTTTTCGTTTCCACGAGAGCTGATACAGACATTGTGAGTATAGACAAAAACAACCCGACTCCGATTCTCTGCAATACGGTTATCCCATTGGTGTGTCCTGTGAATTTTCTAGCGAGCGGTACAAAAACTCGGTCGTATATTGGTACAGCGAAGAGGATCGTGACTCCAACTAGGCCTTGAAGTGACGCGGGTGGAAACTGAAAATCTGATCCTATGGTGTGGATCAATGTTCCGCCTTGTTTAATGAAATATGTGTGTCCTTGAGCTTGGACGACGGTGAACATTAAACAGCTTAGCCATATCGGGATTAGGCGGAGGACGAGCTTCACTTCTTCGACTTGAGTCACGGAACATAGTCTCCATGGATTTCTTGTTTTGCTTGATGCATCAAATTCATCAATTATTGCTGCTTTGTCCAAAAATCTGTTGCAAATTAATCATATATTAATTTTGTCACAAGAATATTAGTAGTTATGAAATTTAGAAAATGTTAATGTGAATCAACAAACACAGGGAACAGAAAATCTAAACCCACAATGAATTGTTGGGATCAATTCCAATTTCCAACCGAAATCCAACCCCACATGCCCATAATAACAAATTCATTGAACTCATGACTTTTCTATGTATAACAAGTTGACAAAAAAATATCTCCAACAACTATTTATATTAAACTATTTGGATCCTTTAAAGTGTTATAGCTCACTGTAGTTGATTTTATTTAATAGATGATCCAGTGGATTATTGGAACAAATCCCCTCTTTAATCTTGTTAAATAATTCTTGGAGTATGTTACACATTGTTTTAACTAATAGTCTAATAGTCAAAAATTCATCCTTTAAAAGTGTATAAATAGGATGTCATGGATTTAAACTCGCACATTTATAATTAAATATTTCTGTATAAATATCAACTGAATTGTGTTGACAAGTTTGGGTTGACACTCTTCTACTATAAACAAAATACTAAGTATTATTTCATATAAGTTTGTGTTCAATCATAGCGGATAAATCTTAATAAATTTTAATTTTTTATCAAAATTAACTCTAAAATTATATCTATAATAATTGTGAGTAAAAAAATTTGCCCCAACAATTATTGATTGAAATAGACTAAATCGATTTTCTAAAGCTTATAATCCGATCTATTTAAGTCTCGTTTGATCTGACCTGTTTAAATAGACTTTTAAATGAACTTTAAGATTAGACCGGACTTAAAAAAAAATTATAATAGAACTTTAAAAATTTATAGTAGAACCTTCTAAAATCTAGCATGGCAATTATACTCAAAATTCAATTGTTACATTTATCATGAAACAAAGTTGAAAAGTGTTGGAAATGCTATCTCTAATACTCCCCAAACACTCTCTCCATTATTGGTTTTCTTTTTCTATTAGAATCTTACTAAATAGGGAATTTGTGTTAGAAAGAGTATTAGACTACCAATCCTCAACATTTCTTTTTCAAAAAGTATGTTAAATTTTATCAAAAAGAATGTAAACTCTCCACTAGAAGAACCAACCAACTAATTTAACTTCTAGTGTAAAGAGATAGAGCATTTTGTGTACAAAACTAAAATTAAGAGAATTATTGTAATTTGCATTGAAAATGGAATGACTATATAAGAAAATAATAAAGAGTGATACCCACTTATATTGACGAGTATGAAGCAAAGAATGATATTTTGGTTGAAGAGGATGATGATGATGATGAGGTTCAAGTTTCTCTTCTTGACTATAACAAAAATTGTTAGAACCAATGGTGTCTTGCACGCGCCACTTGCGAGATGCGGCGACAAAAACTTGGGCCAGTCTTGTAAATGGGCTGCCCGTAGGGCCTTCTTTTTTGTACCTTCTGATTCCCAATAAGAAGATTGCCAATGCCATCGCCAACACTCCCGCCAATACTCCTAACCCTACTCCCCACCCAACATTGTCCTGGTTTTTTCAAATATTCATTGTTAGTATCACAATCCATCACGTTAAATTAACTCAGTTGATAGTTGTGCAGAGACATCAGATACAATGCAATGACAAATATTAAAACTCACGACATTTCACTTATTCATCTTTAAAGTAAATATTGATCATAAAAATTAAATTAATTTACCTGAAGATAAACAGGCAAAAACACAGCGGCAGTTGAACCCGCGACAATGCCCAAATACCACCAATTAAAAAACGAACTCTTAGCATCCTTCTCTTCTGGCGTATCGTCGTCGAATTGATCAGCCGCGAACGTTTGAACACATGGCTTATGGCCTCCTTCACCAATGGAAAGCACATAAAGTGCAAAGAAAAAAAGTGTCTTATGTCTTAGTACTGACACTGAAAGTGTCAAGAAAACCATGCCCTGTTGAGAAAATTAGATTCTTATCTTATGCATCAAAATTAATAATATAAACTAATTTTTTTTATTAAATGAATAATTAAATTTTGCAAGTATAATGAGGACAAATAATCCACAGGAAATTTACATATCCTGAAATGGAATATTGGAATCATGTGATATGCCTAAATTGTACTGTGTATGTGTGTGAAAAGTACTCACAAGAAAGAAAAAAATGATTCATATAAAGTTGGAGAAACAAAATTTAATATTATTTTTATGGTTGGAAAAAATATTTCATATAAACATTAGGATTATTAAGCATCTTTCCGATTGATTAGTTATTTTATTAACCTGTATTTTTATTCTATTCTAGCTAAGGATATAATTTAGTGACAGAATGATTGATATTTGTAGGGGATGTACTTTACTAAAAAATATATAAAACGTAAAGTTTTGGAAAACTAATTGATTTTGATGAATTATCACATTTTTAGTGAAGAATACATATTAGATGATAGCTAAGTTTTTGTCTTATTATAAAACTCAATATTAAATTTATCATGCAATATTATGGTCAATAATATTTCAAAATAGTATTAAATTAATTTATATAATACAATAAATTAAATAAATTTATTGAATATTTCTCTAACTAAAAATAAATATTTTTTATTGGAAAATTATATTTAAATATAGAAGTAGTGTTAAAGAATTATAGTCAATAAAATTTCAAACATTATATGAAACTATTTATATAATGTAATAAATTAAATAAATTTATTAAATATTTCTCTAACTAAAAAATGTTTTTTATTGAAAAATTATATTTAAATATAGAAATAATATTAAAGAATTATGACTCCTAGTTCCAGCTTCAAACAAGTGTGGGACAAAACTCCACAAACGACAAAAGTGTTGCATCACAAAGAGGAAAGAGCACCATAGATTACAGCAGCAAATCAAGAACCATGAAAAAAAAAGTTATAAATTGAACTTTAATATTAGAGTGGGCATATAGTAAAAAAACAAATTAAATTTTATAGTGTCGGTGTAAAAAGATTTTGTATATATAATTAAAAAATATCTTACAAAAATAATTATATTAATTCATTAAATAAACTCAATTAATAGTTATGTAGAAACATCATATCATCATATCTACCGTATGAATTTAAACAAATCAATTTAATTACGTAGTTAGAGAGAAATATGAGATACAAGGGTATAAATTTGAACATGTGCTTTCTTGTCATTAAACTACTAGACAAAACTAAAAAAATAATGTGTAATGTGGTTTAATTGAATGGTTATATAGTTATTATTGAGTGAGGTAGAAGAATTATTTACCACAAGATAGATGAGAGAAGACAAGAGAATGGTGTTAAATCTACCCAGATAGGAATCAGCTACGAACCCACCAAGCAAAGGGAAGAGAGAAGAAACACCGACCCATGTGTTAACGTTTTTGACAGCTGTAGTTGTAGGTTCATTCAGAAATTTTGTGAGGTAGTTTATGAGATTTGAAGCCAAACCTTGGTATGCAAATCTCTCAGCAAATTCCACAACTATACAAAGAGGAAGATAATCAATTCCATGAAAATTGGGGGAGATAAGAAATGGGTGATGGAGAAAACTTACATATGATGAAGATGGCAGCATTCCAACCACCCTTTTTGGTGGTGGGATGGTGGATGAGGGAGTTGGTTTTGCTCTTGCTTGGGCTATCTGCCATTATTTGGTTTTGATTGTGAAATATTGTGAGGGTGAGTTGGAATATGAGATCATGTTTTTGAGGAGGTTATTTGGGGGTTTTATAGGGAAATTATGGGACTACTATGTTTGGATTTTTGTGTTGGGGTGAAAAAGGAGCACTAGTAGAAATTTTTAGGGTAGAGAATAAAATTTGGTTTGTTTAATTTGGTTGCTTCTCTTTCTAATTCTATTTCTTTAACTTTTTCTTATAGAATTCAAACTTTTTATTTCTTGACTTAAAGTTTGGTCATGTTAAACTTTTTGAACATGGTGAGTAAATGGAGAAGGAAAGGGAAAACAATACAATGTATTTAAGGAAAATTAATATTAATGTTTTATAAAGAGAAAAATATCATAAATATTAATTATTTTATCATAAATAATTTTTTTTAAATCTAATGTATTACATTTTTTTTTTAATTTGGTCAAACTTATTTATAGGTAGGTTTGATTTGTCAAAAATATCAAAGACCTTGTCTTAATTATTACTTTGATCCCTTCATTTTTCTTTTATTATTGTTTTAATCCCTCTATTTAAAATTTTAGAATTTTCATTTTTTTTTTTAAAGTTTCTTCAGGATTTTTGTTCCTTTCAATTTGAGATTAATTTTTAATAACATGATATTGAATATGATCATGTGTTTATCAAATTTAAACTCAGTCATTTTCATTAATAATATAATAATGATTTATTAATATTAATAATATTTTTATCAATATAATAATAATAGTAATTTATTGATATTTGATTAAAATGGTATTTCGCGTAGGATATATAAGAATTTCATATAATCATATATCCTCTCCGTTTCTTTATAAGTGTCATTTTAGCATAAAGTTTTTCAACTAAGATAGTGGATTATTAGAGTTATTTTTCTTATTATACTCTCATTTATTTTCTCTTTTCAAATAAATTCAATCGTATATCATCTCTCTTTTTCCAATAACTAATTGAGAAAATTATTAATTTTATGAAAAACGTGAAGTGGGGTTATTGAGAAAGTAAAGATATAATTGACAAATTATAATATTAAACTATAAAAACGACACTTAAATAGAAATAAAAAAATTCTTCTAAAACGACACTTAAAAAAGAACAGAGTAATTTGTTAACATAATTGTTTAAAAAATGGAACAATTAGAATTTAATTTTAATTAAATTAGGGAATGCATTTAACATATCAATTAACATCGTATCAATTACACAATTTAACATTGTATCAATTAATAAAATTAAAATCATATCAATTGAAAAATTAAAAACATTAGTATGTGAGATTGAATCTTTCTCTCTTCTACTACACTGCAACTTTGTTGAAAAACTCACAATTCTGTTTCAATCTCTTCAAAATCTGGAACTTTAATCGAAGCTTTCTCCAATACATACGCTGATTTAGTTCGATGCTAAAACTATCAACTATCTTCCATTTTTATAGATTGTTTCCACTAACAACATTGAATTTATATTTGAGAAAGTACACCTTTTGCAACAACTGAATTGTATTTGTTTAAGGTCTCTTGGCTCTTTGTTTTTTTTATCTCAGATCTAGATATGTCTTGACTCTTTGATTTTATATCTTCAACTTCATTTGGGTTTTTTTATTTTCTTATTTCTATAAGATTTCATTGTGTTCTAATTTCATCTCAGATTTAGATGTCATCTTGATTTTTGATTTTCTTGTGTTAGAGAGGTGTAAAATATGTTGTCTTATTACCATCTTCCTGTATAGTCGTTACCATCTTCCTGTATATAAATAGTAATGTCTTGATAATAAAAATTAATTCAATATTTTTCCTTAATATGGTATCAGGCACACACTTATCTTCTTCCTCATACCTGTCCATCTTCATGTAGTGGCATGTGTTATATCCTAATTTTGCTCCTAAGATTTCTCATTATTTCATATCCTCGCAATACATCAAGATCACACATTTAAGCTGACTATCACCAAGTACTCAAATTGAATATCTTGTATATGTTTGTTTCATGATTACTAAACTTTAACTAAAATCCAAAAAGATATTTTTTGTTTCTCTTTATATTTTGTATATTGTAGGTATTGATAGAAGGGTATTCATCTCACCTCCTAAGTTAGGGTTTGAAGATTGATCCTTAGTTAGTTGATTATTCCTTGGATCTCTAAAGCACTAAACTTTAAAATATTGCTCCTAATCATCAAGTATGCTTGATGATAACATCATCTCAAGGTCATGTGAGCTTCATCATGCCTCAAAATACATACAAGGTTCTAGAGATAAGAAGTGTATCACACTCTCCTATCTTTTGTCCATGAGCTAGGTTTTTTGGTCAAAGTCAACATGTGGCTGACTTCTTGTGTAAAACAAGATTTCATGGTTCGTAATACATCTTAAGACATCTATGTGTGGCCTTTTAATCATCACAACTCATCAGAAGATTCAATTTTATTGGAAAGAATGAGATTTGAATTTATCTGATCAAAAGTCAACAGGAACATCAAAGTTTGACCAGAGAATTTTTTGGTCAAAACTAAGAGCGGGGAAGGTTATCATCAGAAAAACTAAGACACGTTCGTGGCTTATGACCTGAAGCGTGGGGAAGTTTATCATCAGAAGAACTGAGACCCATTCGTGGCTTATGATCCGAAGCGTAAGGAAGTTTATTATCAGAAGAACTAAGACTCATTCGTGGCTTATGACTTGAAGCGTGGGGAAGTTTATCATCAGAAGAACTGAGACTCGTTCGTAGCTTATGACCCAAAGCGTGGGGAAGTTTATCATCAGAAGAATTGAGACCCATTCATAGCTTATGAGCCAAAGCGTGGGGAGGTTTATTAGAAGAAACTATTATCGTTCTAGATAAAATCCAAAAGTCAGGTGAAGTTTATTACCCTTTTCAAATGTTATCTTGATCAAAGAAGAAGTATATACCTTTTCTAGGTAGAACACTATAATTGTTGGAAAACTTGTTATTATCAGTGAAGATCCTACCTTCATCTGTTGAGTTGGTAGTGTATCGTCATCCCTGAGTCGGTATTACGCTCATTTATTGAGATGGCTCATTTATTAAGATGATGTTATCTTGTTTCCCCTTTCTCCTCTTCAAGATTTTCCCCAGTAGAGTTGAGTTCTCTATTCCAAGTTGAGTTAAGTTTCCTTTCTCCAATGGAGTGAAGATTCTTTCCCCGGTCGAGTCGGTAATCCTTTCTTGAAAGATTATTTCCTTGATGGCTATTTTCTCGCATTGTTGAGAATCTCCTCATTGGAGTCTTACTTTGCGGGTTATCCTATTTGTGATTTTGAGTTTTCTCTTCCCCAGTGGTGTCTTATGTTCCCCTGTAGGTTTCCTTTTCTTTTTCCTATAGCATTCATAATCATAAGCATTACATGGTATCTTAGGACCAAAAATAGGGTTAGTTTTTGTATTTAAGTATCTTCAATCGCGTCGAGACGAAGATTTTAACTTTCATATCTCCGGATAGAAGACACTTAAATAGGGGCAACTGTTATACCCTAATTTTCCCCCTTAGATCCCTCATCATTTCATGTCCTCACAATACATCAAGATCACACATTTAGACTGACTATCACTTCTACTTTCTTCTCTCTTGAAGTTTGTCCTTGAGGTATCACCAAGCACTTTAATTGTGTATCTTGTATATGTTTGTTTCATGATTACTAACCTTTAACTAAAATCCAAAAAGATATTTCTTATTTCTCTTTATGTTTTGTATATTGTAGGTATTGATACAAGGGTATTCATTCCACCTCCTAAGCTAGGGTTTGAAGATTGATCCTTTGTCAATTGACTATTCCTTAGATCTCTAAAGCACTGAACTTCAAAGCTGATTCTAATCATCAAGAATGTTTCCTGATAACATCATCTCAAGGTTATGTGAGCTTTATCATGCCTCAAAATACAAACAAGGTTCAAGAGATAAGAAGTGGATCACACTCTCTTATCTTTTGCCCATGAGCTAGGTTTTTTGGTCAAAGTCAACCAGTGGCTGACTTCTTGAGTAAAACAAGATTTCAATAAGTTCATAATACATCTTAAGGCATCTATGTGTGGCTTTTTAATCATCACAACTCATCAGAAGAATCAATTGTATTGGAAAGAAAGATTTGAATGTATCTGATCAAAAGTCAACAGGAAAGTCAAAGTTTGATCAGAGAATTTTTTGGTCAAAACTAAGGTCAAAGTTCAAAAGATGAGAAAATGTGATCATTGTTTGAAGAAAGTCAAGGGAAATGGTCAAACTTGAGTTAACTTGCAAAAGAAGTTATCTTTGAGACTTAGAAAATATTTCTAACTATTAGAAAATTTGTGATCATTTTGCCATCTTTCAAGCTTTGTATCTCACTAATTTATGATCCAAAATTTGCAAACTCATGTTCAAATGAAAGAGGAAGTTTGATACTACAATTTTGTCTTTGAGAGTTCATCTCCAAAAAGTCCACGGGTTACAAGATATTTAAGCATGAAAAGAGATGCTCATTCAGATTTGGCTATTGGAACTTAGGGGATTCTTCAATGTACCCATGAAGGCACATCCAAACTTAACATGTCAAGACTTAAGTTGCTCACCACCAGATTTGAAAATCTAAGAATGAAGGATGATGAAAGTATTAATGAATTCCATATGAACATTCTTGAGATTGCTAATGCATCCAGTGCTTTAGGAGAAAAAATACCCGAAGACAAATTGGTGATAAAAATGCTTAGGTCTCTCCCCCAAGAGATTTGATATGAAGGTGATTGCCATAGAAGAAGCAAAATACATTGACAAGATGAGAGTGGATGAACTTGTTGGATCCCTTCAGACATTTGAATTAAGCATCAATGGAAGATCTGAAAAGAAGAATAAAAGCATAGCTTTTGTAACCAATACTGAAGATGAAGAGGAGGATTGTGATCAGGATACAGATGAAGGAATATCTAATGCTTTAGTTCTACTTGGAAGACAGTTTAACAAAGTGATAAAGAAGATGGATAGGAAC